GATTTATCCATAATTTTACATCTTTTTTTTTTTATTTGCTAAATGTTAAGTTAAAAATGTTCATATTTGTTTTAGAGATTATGCAGATATACAGAGAGAGAGAGAGAGAGAGAGAGAGAGAGAGAGAGAGATTTTTTACATTAAAAAAGTATATTTATTTTTGTTTTATTCAAGGTGATTAGAGGAGGAGGGATATTAGGCCTATTTGGGGTTAAAGCTTCCTAGTTGAAGCCTATGCTCCCATTTTTTTTTACATTTTAAAATAAGAAATATAAATATTTGTGTATTTCCTGTAGAAAAGTTTTGTGCATCCTAATCTGTAGCCTACCAGTAATCTTGTAACTGTGATATCAGCTCATATTCTCACTCTGGGAAGAACAGTGGTGCTGTAACGCGAGAGAGAGAGTGTGTGTGTGTGTCTAAGGGATGCTGATTTTATTTAGCCTCATTTAGGTTTACCAGAAACCTCTGCAGGAGTGGAGAAGTAATGAGCCCTAAATGCAGGCTCTTCCTGATTTTATTTCATGTTGTTTCATTTGATTTTATGCTATTTATTTCTCCCTCTCACTGGGGCGCTATAGCGCGGCGAGTGCTTGCGGCTACGCTAAATTGCCAAATTACCATTCTGAAACCGCACAAACAGGATATTAGCAATCAGAAGCTATTGCCACACTGGCACCGCTCAAGCGATTGAAAGGTGCAGAGCGCTGACTTCTGCTTGTGATTTGCACCGCATGTGGCATGACGCTGGTAAAGGACCTCACTTTAAATATTTAAAGGGCCCAAAGGAGAGAAAGATGCTGGATCGAAATAGATTTATAGTCGTAAATCATAGAATTAAAGAGAGAGAGAGATTACATCACCCAGTAGCCTGTAGATATTAATAAATACTATAACAGTATATACATAATGCTTAACTAACACTGTAGGGCATTATGGTAGCTTAGCTAACATCAAACTCTAAAGTCTACAACTACAGAAAAAACGTGATGGGAACTGATTCATGGGCGCACCTGGTGCTCACAAACAAAACTATGGATGCTCCAGAAGGGGAGCAAAATATCAAAAATTGATAAAAAAGTGGAAGAACAGAAGATGTAGTCCTGTCTTACAATAAAGGCTTTTATCTGTCTAACCATGTGACTGCCTAGACGTGGATTTTCTTGTTCTACAACATGATCCACCAACCATTTGATGTTATACTGCTATTTGATCTGGCCTAAATTTTGTAGCTTAGAAAATTTCAAAACATATGATGACTTAAAATGCTTTAGGTATATGGAGCTCATTTGGTTTTGGAACACACATTTTTGCACAGGTTAATCAACCTTTTTTCACGTCCATTTTCTCAGTCTGCTCCGCCTGAAATCTCAGTTCTCACATCAGCAAAAAATGGCTTCAAAATAGTAGTACAGATGTCTTAAAAATGATCAGTAGGCCAAGAAAGATACTTCCTCTGCAGGAATGTTCTGGATGCCGTCTAAGGAATGAGTTCCGTTCTGTAGTCCACCAATAGTGTGTGATTTCTTTAAAACATGGCTTAAATCAAGTCCATTTGTTTCTCCTCCTGTTGTTCAATCATTGTAATGGTATTACAGACAGCAGAATTTACTGCTTGGATTCAGAGAGTGGTCTTTCCTACTAAAACAAAAGTTTAGGGCTCGCAGCTGAGTGGATAAATCACCCGCACACAAGCTAGCCCAACCGGGGCATCCTTTATTGTTTTGTTTGTGTGTGGATACTGTTGTGTGTATCGTGTATCATGCACGGCAGATATTTGTTAAACCACAAGTTGTCAAGCATTGTTTCGAAGATCTCGGCCCTCTTGATCTGAGCTTTTCCCAGCATCAATAATGCAGGTGTGTTAAATTATTAACTGATGGCCAGAATTCGCAAAATGGCATACTGGGATTTTTGTCAATTTTTTGGCTAAAGGAGACTGCTGGCCCCTTTTGCTCTCTTTCCACTCCTTCCTATTTTCCCTCTAACAAAACCCAACCAGACTTGGGTAATGCATCCTGCTTAGTTGCTGTCAGTCAAAACTTTTTCACAATTTCTGGCCTAAAAAGACTAAAATTCAACCAATGATGGAAGGAAGACATTTTGCAGATCTCTACACTGAGGCCATTTCTTCATTTTCTACTCACTTATTGTAGTTGTAAGGACAATTTGGCTTGCATATTTCCAACTTGAGACCACAAACTAACCAAATCTTCATGTGTATAACTCAATCTCATGAGAAAATTGAACTATTTTACAACATGGTAGATGTCCTTAAGAAAAAGATTAGCATGAAGGTTTACCCCTAAACATAATTGTCAATGAGGCGTAAGGCAGATTGTATGAAATAATATGATCACTCAAATTCATATGAATTAGCCACCAATTAAAATGTAAAATGATTATGAATTGCCATGTGAGTGTTTGTTTAAATAGCTAGTTGGTTCAGGTCACATTGCATTGGATGTGAGTTGACACCAGGTCAGACTTTAAGATAAATTTGATTCCTGTGACCAGAGTTTGACTATTTGTCTTTTTTTTCTCCAAGTTTTAGTAAGCAAGTAGAACCAATTGATGTATTTATGCCTTCAGAACACTAACAAATGATTCACAGTTCACTGTGAGGTGAATTTCACCGTAGCACTTCTGAATTCTGCTCAGAGGGCGAAGAAAGATTTGTGAAGTTTTCTTTCCTTTTGATTTCTTTCCTCTTAGACTTTTAACACACACTTCTCATCATCTGCCTGTCTTTGAACTATATGCCAATCGAAATTCAAAGAGTGCTCACTTCCCTCCTGATTGCAACAATTATCAGAAAGACCCCTAGCCCCACCAGACTGTCTGTTAGAAACACGTTTTGAATGTATAGAATTGCACCACGCTGCCATGTGTTTTGTCATTGTGCTCGTGTTTTCAGTGGAAAGTGTTATTTAAACATTTTAGGAGCCATTTTCCAGCTTCAGTCTATAGTGTTGTGTCGTGTTATAGTGTTGTATACAATAATTGTACATTATAAGCGCTCTAGCCATAATGGTATATAAATGGATAGCTTTGTTTGAGTGGATGCTTTTGGTGTCAGAAGATGGGCTGAATTAGGCTGGTTTGTTTGTTCAGTCATTCAGCGCGGGCACGGACAGCTTGTTGTGTCTGGCTAATTGGGAGTCTGTTGCAGAGAGCTCTTTGGTCTGATCAATAGCCATTCACCAAGCAATAACAAAACAGAGGATTGGGGCTCTACTCGTCCTAGACAGACCCACACACACCGATTCGGCAAAACAATCCAACACCTTTCTTTTTCTCATAGCGCTGTCAATCTTAGTTTTACAAAAGCAGGTTTTCCACCAATACTGCACACTTTGTGTTCCATGGAAAACAAGTGTGTGTGTGGATAAATGATTGTTTGCATCTGCATTTAAAATCTAATGTTTATCCTGTCCTACCTCAGAGGTCTTGACATTCTTGACTGTATCTAACCATTAGAATCCTACAGCAGTCAAAATCGTAATTTTGACATAATCTGTTTTATTTAATCGAAAATTTTAATTAATAACTAATTGCAATTACAAAAACACTAATATTTAGCTTACAAAATAACATTATATTTAGCTTTGTATGCAATGCTCTTTATTTTGTATTGCATGATTCCCTCCTTTGAAATAAATATGTAATATAATTTTGTTCATAAAATGTTAATTTAAATTGTTACATAAGTATATCATCATTTTCTACACATCAAGAATAAGAGACGAAGAAGTGAACGAAAATATTTTTCGATTTTCTCAATTTTTAGACATTAGAGTTGACAGTCAGTTATTGTAGGAAAAAAAAGATTGATCAACAAAAAATAAATAAATGTTATATATATATATATATATATGTATATATAATATGTAATATCTATTTTTATTTGTTTGTTAAAGCCACACTTTGCAACTTTTTAACCTTTATAATATATTACCAAACCCCATTGAGATGGTACATCAACTTACAGTAGGTTGAATGATGCGTTTGCCGTAACCTGAAGGTGTCTGTATTGCTTTTACTAGACCCTTTTTTAAATTCGGGTTTCAGGTAGGAACCCGAGCACAAAAAGAACTACAAAATTCGACCGCTTTATGGCATACGTCACTTCCCCCGCCACCCACAACGTCCTCAGATTCTGACGTTAGTACTCAACTCGTGTTTGATTGCCGTCTGTATGTTTTCGTCAAGGCCAAACAACAGCTACAAGGAAGAAGGCAACGGTTTTATCGAAGGAAACTAAAAAAATGAAAAGGGGAGACACGGGAGGCTGACTGGTTGACTGTTTGTTGACTTTTATTTGCGACAGTGCTGCAGAGCTTGTGGCCTCTAGGGACGCTAGATGTAAAAGTTACAGGTCGAGCGCCCCCTAGTGGCCAAAAGTTCCACAGTGTGGCTTTAATTTTATAGATTTTTTTTTTTTTTTATGTTCATTTAATGACAAGTATTCGTTGTTGTAATCTGACCTCCCAAGGTTGATGAACATTGGTAAAAGAAAAGTTCTGGAGAGTTTTGGACCATGTTTTCCACCTGGTGGAAAGTGCTGTCACAAAAAGTGTAACCGGAAGTTGTAAATTTTCTCTTATGCAAACAACACTTATCCAATACATTTCTGTGGTATATTGTGAGCTCTGTATACTTGGTATAAAAGCATTGGCTTGTCTGTGCAGCTGAATGTTGTCGGCAGTGTATCGTGAACCTTAGTCTGTTGTGGATAGTGTTTGCAAATGACAAGCATCCAGTTCAAGTGGCTCATTGTTGTGAATCAGACGGATACGAATGAGAATTTTCACAACAGGAGGATTAGTATGCTAGTTTGACACATTTTACACCCTCTTGAAACTGGCCTGTTCTAATTGAATGTTTTCTCCTCCTGTCCTTCTCTTTCTCTCCCTCTGAACCTGTCTGTCCTTCCCTGTCCTCCTTTCTTCCTTCCTTCCCTCCATCCTTCCCCTCCCCATCACGCTCTGCGATACCAGTGGCGGCAACGAAAAACAAAGTGAGAGGTGAGTTGGATCCTCCATCTTCCCTGCTGTTTGATAAATGGGGAGACACCATTCTCAATAAGCTGAGCTGAGATAGCTACCTTATCACTGCTATGAGCCAGGCCGGCAGTACCACCATCCTGTTCCTTTTTCCACGCGGCCATTATTTTTTGCTATTTACTACCCCTCTCTACCCTAGCCCTTCTCAAACTATTCCTTCTCTCCCTTTGCTTCACTTCCCTTGCCATCCTTTCTTCCTTGTCATCTTTTCCAACTAACAAGAAAGTTTCTGAGTTTCAATGCTCCACAGAGCTTAGTCGCATGTGACTTGTAGCATGGCTAACCTTTGTCTGAAATGACTCTTGAACATAATGACAATTTCGCTGTTTGTATCACTCGGTTTGTCCCATTCAGACTGTGTTTTTCAGTGACTCTCTCTCTCTACAAGTTACGTCATTACACCAAGTGGCGATAAGTGCCTGTCTTTATGAGAGTCTCACTGAATAATTCATTCACAACACTGATTCATTCATACAAGCGAGTCAATGAATCATTCATTCTACCTACAGTATTTCTTCAAAATGGAACAAAAGGGAACCATTCAGTTCATGCATACATGAGTGAGTCATTGAATCGCTCATGTATTCGTTTATTACTCAGATATGTGGTTCGATTGTGACTTGTTTTTGGTGGAGCAATAACAAAGAAAATGGCAATATTGTGTCTAAAATGGAAGTTACTGAATATGAACTTGTTATACATATTTAACTTGCATAAATCTGGGATTGCAGTACTACTGGCAGGTCATGTCAGCCAAGCTTGCATTTGCTGACTCTCATCTGATCCACATCCATCTAGGAATAAGCCTATCACAACATCTCTATAAGGTCCGTTCAGTATCATTAGCAGCTATCGCGTTGCCTTTTGATATTCCTCTTCAAAACAAAGTTTTCTGCAAAACAATCAGTTTTCCTTGAATTATGTTGTACATTCAATTATTGATCCTCACTGCTCTCCCCACTCTTATCCATGCCAGGCTGCATGGATGCGCAGGGAGTTCTTGCCCTGAATAGAACCATACCGCCAATCCAAACTGTAATCTAATTGTCAATCATCTTTGACAATAGTGGTTCTGACAGAAAAGCATTCTCAAGAGCCCAGTCATATGTTGGTATACCACTGACAAAGAAGGAGAGGTGGGTCACATTCTCCAGTTGTTCCGTGAAACTAATATCCAAAATATCCAAAACTGCACTTGTAAACGTTTTCTGGCATTCATTAGATGAATAACTTGGATAACATTATAGGAAACAAAAAATTAATAACTTTTAAGTTATTTACACTGTAAAAGAAGTTGCTGCCTTAAATTTTTAAGTACAACCAACTTGGCTACATTTCAACTTAAGTTATATTAAACAGACTTAAAAGAAATGAGTTTAATCTAGTATAAATTAATTATAACTTAACTCAATTATTTAACAATTGTTTACCTTATATTGATGAGGTATAATAATGTCAAATATACATTGGACTTATCGATCATATAAATATGTATATATATTTATTACAGTTTACTGTAGCTAATATTTTTCTGCAGTCTCGCAAATAATTTATTTCTCTCGCTTTCAGCAGACACAATATTCTCTCCCACACTGTGAGTATTGCGAGAGTGCAGACCTAGCCCCGTCTATAAAAATAGAATATATTAGAGCCCGATCGATAAAGGATTTTGTAGGCCGATACAACTATTTTTTTGGTTTTAAAATCCGTTATTCCGATATATCGGCTGATATTTTTATTTTATCTATTTTTTTGATTATTTTTTATATTTTATATTATTATATTACAATACAGGGACTGTAACTAGAGATAGTTATTAATACAGTAACCATGACTTTATTTAGGCAGAAAAAGTTAATTGTGGTTTTAGCGGTCTTCCACTGATGATAGTGGCATTAGCTAGCTTTGTGGTTAGCTAGTCTATGATGAGCCATAATTTAGCAATAGAGAACGTCATACTGCAAATTGTAAAATATACATTTTCAATATAACTTGCCAAGGAGAGACGATTGAAGCTTGTTTCGTTTTTATTTTATTTTTGAAATATTCATTTATATCGGCCATTATAACTGCCGATACCGATAGTTTTGCCTAATATCGGCCGGCCGATAAATCCGTCTGGCTTTAGAATATATATTATTTTAGTTTTTATCAATTATTGTAAATTTTATATTAACTACATTTTATAGATCTAGCTGATGCCAAAAAGTTCAAGCTTTAAAGCATCATGCGTGTCTAGACCATCAATGCATGCCATTTTAAGGATTGATCTCCATCTTCTTTGCTTGTCAAAATACAAGCATTTATCTTAGATGTTTACTGTATGCTGAGCATTAAACTGACCCTGTGGTTTGCAGCTGTATCCGTTTCGCTTTATTGTGACAGTGTCTCTTTCAGATGCGGCTGTATAATTTCACGGTTGCTGTTTGCCACGTAGTTAAACATTAAATTTAAAAGATACTTTCACTTTTAAGTGGTTCAGAGAGAGGCAGTGAAATATTTATAAGGGGCAGTTCACAGAGGTTATGTATGACTTGGTAAGCCACAGAGAAGTGAGATCATGATGTCTTTCCCACAAACAAACACGTACTGTACAATCAATCTGATAAAAAAAATACATTCAACTCCACTATAGCCAGCTGATTACCAAGTGTTATAATCATTGTTGCAAAAGCAGAATTTGACGGTTAAAAAGCTCTGGGAACTATAAAAAATGTTAGGCCAATGTATTTGTGTAATTTAACACCACTACTTCTGTAAAGTAGCTTGTTATGAGAAATCTAGACTGTTTTGAGAACAGCTTTGCTTTGTTTAGTTACTGGCTCTCCCAACAGTGCGTAAAAATGAAAATCTTGCCTGTGCAATAGATCTGAATGTGACATTTGTTAGCTCTCCCAAAGGTCTGCCTCATTTTTTTTTTTTTCGGAGGAAGAAAAACTATCACTGCAAATATTTGGAGTCAGGTAGATGAAATGAGGCCTATGTGTACAGAATGAGTGAGACGCTATCAGCAACTGACTCCTCTAAACCACCTGCTCTCCTCATGAATAATGCACAAGGTACTATTCACACACTCACCTCAGATGGCAATTTTACCTGCATGCCATCTGCCTGCAGTGGGACCCTTCCCTGCTCAGTGCACAGCCTCGTCTTGGTGGGTGTGTGTAGGTGTGTGTGTGTGTGTTTGTGCTCGGCGAGTAACAGAGTTGTTTTTTTTTTTTGTTTTTTTTTGTTTTTTTTTTGCGACGACAATTTCATAGGCATGGCTCCTGTTCCCTTTTGTTGCTGTAAATTACAGCATTAAAAAGAGAGAGAAAAACAACTTGCTACAATTAAAAAACTGTGATTGGGGTGTTTGTTTACAGTGGCAAGAGCAGCTGCACACTGGTCTAATTGTGCAAATGAAAGTGGAACCGCTGAGGCCAGTTCATTTGTTGCTTGCTAATTGATTAGATTTCCCTAAATCAGAAATTGCACTGCGTCTTCAAAACTTTTCATCCGCTTTGTCTCTTTTCTGCTTAATTGCTTTGATTCACATGATGTGCACAGCCAGCTCATTAGACACATTGCAATTAGTGCTATGACTGGTTAAAGGTGATGTGTGTAATTTAATAAGTTAAACACTTTTTCTGTTCCCAGCTTAATATGCAGAAATAACTATAACAAAGCTATTTAAAGGATGGTTTACTCAAAAATGTGCATATGTTTCTCTGTGGTAAACCATCTCAATATGGCAACATTTTTGGGGCAGGAGTTTGGGGCAGGACTATCTGTTTGGTTGACCCATTGTAGACGGAGGAAGTATTTGGAAAAAACTGGGGCCAGATTTTTGGCTCCCATGGCAAAGAAATAACATAATTCACCTTTAATAGTCAACATAGAATAGTTTATTAGTGCGTGTTCTTGGCCTTATTGTGAGAATATTATTTTAAATGCCTTCTGAATTAGTTTTGGCTATATAGGATCACAATGTCTAAAATTAAATTACACTCAAAAGTTTGGAGGTTTTTTTTTATTTTATTTTTTTAATTAATCAAGATTCATTACTTTAGTAAAAGTGACAAAGAATTTTTTTTTAAATCTACACTGTGTGATTTTTACCCCCATCTAGTGGTGAAAAGGTATATGACCATCCAGTGAATATTAGTTTCTGTTCCTCTCAATTCCGATTTAGTTTTAACTCCGACCTACGGTGTCCAATGTAGTCCAAGATTAACATGGCTTCCAGTTCGATCTCGTCCATGAGTGTTAACTCAAATGTAAACGCGAAAGGCGAAGCTTGAATTAACGGGTATGTCCCTCTTTGGCTAATGTACGTTCAAGATGGAGGGGCAACATGGCGACCGACATTAGAACGCCTTACCCGTATGTATTTTCAATGGCATATTGTACACTCACGAGAATACATTATTACTTGAACGAAGTAAATGAGCACATATATTTTTGAAAGAATAAGTGTTTTTAGCTAAGAATAAACTAAAAGAGTTACACAGTGTAGCTTTAAAGAAGTAAAAAACAGCACAACTGGGTTTTTAATTTTTCAATTGGCCGGCCGTTTTGCAAATCCCATACCCTAGCTTTAAATTCTAATAATATTTCACAGAATTACTTTCTTGCTGTATTGTTGACCAAATATATGCAGCCTAGGACATAAGGCTTTCAAAAACATTACACTAGTGTATATTTAAAGTTTGTCTCTTTGTCAAATCTCATCAAAGTTTTCAGTGATGCCTATTATCTTAATGGTCTTTTATGCTGGCCCTGTAATTTTTTTCTGTCCATTGCGATTGTCGCTTGTCGCACACAATTTGACCTCAGGCAGATGATGTAAATGGCAGTGCTCCTGGTTGTTGATTGGTTCTTCATTTGGATTGCCGTCACATTTTACTGTAGATCACACTGCTGGACCGTGCCCTACATTTTCCCCAAAAAATTCTAAGATAAGATTCTAAGAAAGTCTA